AAATAAATAGTAATTTCTGTAAATAAGCTATACGGATCCCAAAATATGCAAATTGGTATTAATTTATTCAGAGTTGTACATGGTGTGTACATAATATTTAGAGAATTAATTCATTGCATTTAATTTTTTTCCAATTTACATGATATATATTGTAAATGAAAACTTATCTTAGCTCTTTGTGATTTGAAGGAGATATATGGTTTTTTTTAACTGTGTTTTATTAATTTCCCCCCACCCCTGCTGTTTTAGGACAATCATGTGCCATCTTTTACATCCAGTGTGTGCAGATTTGGCTTAATACTAAATCATTGAGGCGGTATTCTACAGAACGGGGCTTATAAAATGCAGGAATAAACCTCAGGTTTTTGTTCTCACTCCAGTTCAATAATATCAAAAAAGTTAATTATAAAATTTTTTTTTTTTTTAATTCTCACATCTTTCAATAAAAAATGTTGAAATAAGAAACTGTTCCAAGCCTTCTTGATTATATAAAATGTTAAATTTTTCAATTACAACAGCTGGGAATGTAGCAGCTATACATTTTAAAGTTAATCTTTCTTTTCTTTCTTTCTTTTTCTTTCTTTCTTTTCTTTCTTCCTATTTCCTAAAATACATACATGTCAAAAATAAAGTATTGGGAACAAGAAGTCCAACATAAACACATTATTAATATTATTATTAATAATTATGTGAACTCCACAATACTGTGGAGTTATATATTTTTCAACTGATTAAAAAAATCTGGACATTTTATACTCTGTCATGCTAAATCAGATTATTATTATTTTATATATATGTAAACTCTACTATATTGTAGAGTTATATATTTTTTCTACTGATTAACAAAAAAAATAATCTAGAAATTGTATACTCTGTCCTGCTAAATCAGTAAACATAATAACTAATTTCATGCTCCCTTTAAATATGGTAGCTATTAAAGGTATAGATCGAGGTTTGAGCCAGCACAAATCTCTTGCCATGAATGTATGCCAGAAAAGGGACGTGGAGTGAGCACTGTCCAGAATTGTGTGTGTTAGTTATTATTTTCAATTAGAGGAGATGTGGGGATCCTGCTAAAAATCGTTGATGTCTGTATTTAATTTCGATCAGGAAAGATTAAAATGCTTCCATGCATATTAACATCCGTTTTAGATTATTGGTATGTAAACCATAAGAACACTTTTTTTTTTCTATAAAGAGACGGGGAATTTTGTTTCCAGTCTACTAAACTTGTTCCAAAAAAGTTCTTTCTTGATTATTCCTAGAGAGAATCGACAGTTTTAGACAAGAGGGGAAAGGGGTATGTTGTTTGGCATGGCATAACATGCCTTTTAATTCTCAGTGTTTCCTCCATTTTGGACATAGCACATGACTTGACTTGAGATTATTCCAAGGAAATCCCTGGTATGGAGGGCAGCCGGGCACACCATAAGAGCCCTGTTAATCAGGGTGACCCAGGGAATTGTGCATTTCCAGTGTACCAAAAATAAACGTTTAATAACTAACACCACATGGGGGCATCGTCTGCCCCCAAGAAAGAATGGCACTGCTATGAATGTAAATAACACTACTCTATATACCATTCAAGGAATAGAAATGTGAAGTTGTTGCCGATAGCAACCTCACTACTAATAATGTGACATTCATCCGATATGAATAGTTCATGGAATGGGAAAAGAGAAAGCCATGCACACTTAGGATTTGGTAATGTTTCAGCTCGGGCTCCATGCAGCCAGCGTATAGATCTGATTACACTTCACACTCGGGTTACCCGGCACGGTCTCGTCTTCCACACAGCCCTGTAATCAGCGGGCTCAGGCAACACGACATGTTCAAGTGATCATCCTTCTACCTCCACTGCTTTCCTGTAGTAAGGACAACTTCACGGCTTTATGGCAAAGTAATAAATGATGGAATAAACAAGTCCTTTCCTCACCAATTACCCCTTCCACATCGGAGGGGAAGATTTACAAGGCAAACTCACACAACAACAAAAGAATATCACCACCAAGGCAAAAGTGAGCTCCGAGCGCCCCCTGCTGGTCATTCTGTGTCATTGCCGGCTTCTGTGTGTGGCGCTTTGCCGGATTACAGGTATCGATTTACTGTAAAGCCTTTACAATCAATGTATTACATATCATTTATTTTATTTTATTACAGGTATTTATATAGCACTGACAATGTATGCTGCACTTTACATAATGCACATTCAAGGAGCTTACAATCTAAGGTACCCCAATTGTACACTTATACTATAGTCTCACTTTACACCAGGATAAGGATCCTTATTTTATCTATCTATCTATCTATCTATCTATCTATCTATCTATCTATCTATCTATCTATCTATCTATCTATCTATC